TCCTTCTTATGTCACCATCTTATTGTGTCTCTCTTTTGCCTCTCTCTTCCAGGTGTATGAATACTCGTGATTATTTGGGGCAGACCTAGATAATTGTCCATCTCAAAGTAAACTGAGTAGTAACCTTAATTCTCCTTTGCCAAGTAAGCTAATATAGTGATGGGTTCCAGAGATTAGGATATGGATGTTTTTGAAGGGCCATTATTCTGCTCCTCGTGTGTTTTCTCATTAAGCACTTACTACTATACATTTCTTTCTATTCACTTAGTTTCCCCCAAATTGATGCATTGTGCATTCATTTTTTTTTTTTAGTTATAGGTGGACACAATGTCTTTATTTTATGTGGTACTGAGGATCAAACCCAGTGCCTCACATGTGCTAGGCGAACGCTCTACCTCTGAGCCACAACCCCAGCCCCCTGCACTCATTTTTATTCAGTTCGAAGTATTTCTGATGGTACTTTGTCTCTGATTCACGAGCTATAAGTCATGTTTTAAAATTTCCAAATATTTGTGTTTTCCAGTTATCTTTCTATAATCAATTTCTGCTTTAATTCTTTTAAGGTCACAGTTCACACTTTGTATGATTTCAGTTCTCTTAAATTTGTTAACATTTGCCTTGTGAGCTAATACTTAGGATCCAATATATAATCTATTTCAGAAGATATTCCTCGTGTGCTTAAAGTTATAACAATTACAACAGCTGCCTTGAGGTCTAAAAATTCCAACAGCTGGAATATCTGTGTTGATATCTGTTGTCTTTTTTTTTCTTAAGAATTTTCACATTTTCCTGGCTCTCTGTATATAAATGCTGGACATTTTTGACATATAGTTTAGACTCCAGGTCTTGTTCAGATGTCCTAGGGAATATGCATTTTTGTTTAACCATCAACCCAGACAGGTTCAGACCAAAAGTTCTGTGACATCTTCTATAGCTGTGGTTTCAGTATCTATTCACTTTACAAAGGGTTTGTTTAGTAAACCCTATCTTACACATGACTGCTTTGTAGTCTGTGTCTTAAACAGTGGTTTAAAGTGCAGAATTCAGTTTTTAGTCTTTGCCGTGCTCTTTTGGGTGTGTCCAGAATGTGTACAGCTCAGGGGTGAGCTGGGAGCCTGTGCTAATTAAAACAGAATAAGGGGATGCCTCCTTCAGCTGTGTCTGGCTTCCCTTCTTGTACCACAAAGTCCCCTTCTCCCTGTCTGCTGGCCAGAAATATGGAGTTTGTCTTGGAATTTTTTGTTCCACCACTACTACTGCACTATTTAGGTAATCCTCAAGGCAAGGAGGAAACAGAAAAATCACCTCCATACTCTTACACTGCAAGGACTCTTTCCCCGTTTCCCCTGTACAGAAAGGGTTCCATCAATTTTAACTGTTGGTACCACTTGCTACCAGGGCTTTCCCGGTGGCTTACCTACCACAAGTCATCAGAGGAGAGAGAAGATAAAAACACTCACTAGTGAGCTTCCAGGAACTTTTTTACTTTTAGTTTTTTAATTTTGGGGGTTTTCTTTAGACTTTAACCTGCCAGAGGCGCCACTATGCCATCCTTTGACTCAAGACCAAGAGAGAAAAGGGGGATATTGGGAAATTCACCTTTGCATGAGTCTTCAGCTTTCATAGCCCTCCCCAATTCACTTGCTTCCTCCCACCCCCGCCCCAGTATTCTCTGTTCCCTTTCGTCCAGAAATTTTACTTTATTCAGTGGGAGAGAGCTTTAGTGGCTCAGTCCACTTTGTGTCTAAAAAGCCATAGTTGCCTTATTTTTAAGAGCCCCAAACTGGAAACAACCCAACTGTCCTTTAACATTAAAAAATGGACAAATTTCACTATATCTGTATGTCTGTTATATAATACAGCAACAATGAAAAACTACAGAGACAACAACTTGGGTATATCTTATTTTTGTTGTTTAGTGACAGTCTGAAAATAAACTATTTTCAGCTTTCGATAAAATATACAATTTATATGGTTCTTTTTATATAAAGTGCAAAAGGAGAAGTTATATTCTAATGTTGGAAATGAAGGCAGTTGCTAGAGAAGGAAGAAAATAGTGGCATCAGGAGCTTTTGGGGTGCTGTGACCATCCTTTTTTGGGGGGGTACTTGGGATTGAACTCAGGGGCACTAGACCACTTGAGCCACATCCCCAGCCCTATTTTATATTTTATGTAAAGACAGGGTCTCACTGAATTGCTTAGCACCTTGCATTTGCTGAGGCTGCCTCTGAATTCACAATCCTTCTGCCTCAGCCTCTGGAACTGCTGGGGTTACCGGCTTGAGCCGCCATCCTATTTTTCATCTAATATAGATGGAGAACACACATGTACTCACTTAGTAATAATTCTTTGAACTAAACAGTTGTTTTGTGCACTTTTCTGGACTGTGTATGAAGGGGAATTTTTATTTTTTGATATTGAGGATTGAACCCAGGGGCACTTAATTACTAAGCCACATCCCCAGCCCTTTTTTAGATTTTATTTAGAGACTGGGTTTCACTGAATTGCTAAGTGCCTTGCTAAGTTGCTGAGGCTGCCTCCCTGATCTTCCTGCCTCCGGAGCCGCTGGATTACATGCATGTTCTGCTGCGCCTGGCTGACAGGAGAATTTATAAGGAGGCTATTGAGATGCCTGCTGGAATGGAAGGACAGAGTGATGCTGAGCCTCATGAACAACTGAGCCAAGAGCTCAAAAGCTGTTGGAATCTCCTCACTACAAATGCTTCCTCCAGGATAATATGCCACTGATCTGAAACCATTATATTTTATGCATTCAGGCACTTATGATGTGGATCTACTGTTTTGTTTGTTCAGGATTTGGCCTGCTTATGCAAACATGAAAAATGGCCTACTCCCATTCTGTCCATGTGGTTTTCATGGGTAGCTACTGTGTCATAACTTTAATCCTCTGACTGCACTTAATTAATCTAGTCATGGGCACCTAACCTTAGAAATTTTTAACTTGGGACAAGAGTTCTGCTTTTTTTAAAAAAAATTTAGTTGTAGGTTGGACATAAAAACTTTATTTTTTACTTATTTTGTGTGTGTGGTGCTGAGGATTGAACCCAGGACATCACACATGCTTGGCAAGCACTCTACCACTGAGCCCCAGCCCCAGCTCATAAGATTTCTGCTTTGGAATAAACATTGTTGGGGTGGGACATGGAAATGTTTTCACAACATTACAGGTGATCTGAATTCTTTATTTGGTTGCCTGTTATATCTTTAAAGTATTTTAAAACTGGCATTATGGAAGCTGGGGGTGCAGCTCAGTGGGAGGGCAATTGCATAGCATGCACGGGCCTTGGATTCAATCCCTAGCACAAAACCAAACCAACACCCCACCCCTTAAAACCTGGCATTGTATTCAACCAATAGTGTCTTTTCTTCTCTTGGAGATTGGGACAGGCACTTCAGCATCAATAAGGGATACTGTATGAAGGACAATGTTAGATTTGTTCAAATTTTGGAATTAATATTTTTATACTTTTTTTTTTGGGGGGGGGTGTTGGGGATTAAATGCAGGGCCTTGGGCATGCAAGGCAAACACTCTACCAACTGAGCTATATCCCCAGCCCTATTTGTAGCAAATTCACCTAAATCATGGCAGTCATCAGTGACTTCAGAGTTAATAGTGTGCTCAGTGGTTTTAGTTTTAAAACACATACACAATGTATGATGATTAAATGAGGGTCTTTAATGTATCCATCACCTCATTCATCATGCCTTTATGATGAGTTCATTCAAAATAACCCTTCTAGTTATTCTGAAATACACATTATTGTAAATTATTTTCATTGTACTGTGCAACAAAACACTAGATCTTCTTCCTTCTAACTGTAATTTTGTACTTGTTGACCAATCATTCCCAGTCTACCTTCCTCTTTGGTACTGGGGATTGAACCCAGGGGTGCTTTATCATTGAACCATGTCCCCAGCCCTTTGTGTTTTGAGTCTGGGTCTCACTAAGTTACTTAGGGCCTCGCTAAGTTGCTGAGGCTGGCCTGGAACTTGGGATCCTGCGACAACCTCCCGAGTCACTGCAGTTATAGGCTTGCATCACCACATCTGGTCATCTTTCTTAAGGACCAGATGTGTATTTAAAGAAAGAACTGGTTTGAAATTGGCATGTGAGTTGTAGTAAATAAGGCTGGAGTGTGATATCTACTCCATTTTCAGACTGGTAACCAGACGGCCACTGAGCTCATCCAAACTTCTATTTAGGATCATTCAAAATGCGTGCAAATTGGTTACACGCAAGCTTTTACTCCCTTCCACCAGTTACTTTCTCTAAAAAATCTCTTAACATTTATTCTGCTTTTGCATCTCAAAGTAAACTTTGACATGGCAAATATTTTACAAAACCTCCATGTGAGTTTTCCTGCTTCACTGGATATATAGTAAATTTAGGTAAACTTCTAATTTATTGACTTACAAGTATACTGAAATTTAATTATTATTAAATGGTTCAAGTTTTTTGGTTGGCTTGGAGAAAAATTCAAGCATAAGGGTGTTAGTTTTGTCTGAGAGAGACTGTAAAACGAGGCACAGCAAATACTTCTCCTAAAGCAACATGTAGAAACTCTTTAAACCATGTACAAGTTTTAGTTTTTCCACCTATAAAAGATGTATTTATATTTGGTTTGAATTTTCCCTCTTGGAAACTTAGTTCTTTTTTTTTTCTTATTTAATATAATGCTAGATTTTTCTAACTAGACACCAATTCATAGCATCTGAAAAAGTTCCCAGAAAGCCAAACTACAAATTTACTCCAAATAATCCACATACGAAATAACCTAGGATAGAGAGAATATGATATAATTCAACATCAAGAAGGCTAAAACTGAAAGGGCAATAAAATTGGGGTTGTGTATTTAAAAAAAAAAAAACCAACTGAGAAATTAAAATCAGTTGCAGGAATTTGGGGGAAGAAGAAATCTTACCATATCCAGAAATTAATAAAACACGTGAAAAACAAATATAAATTTAATAATAAACATTATGGTCAGGCTGTTTATTAAGGAGCAACCACACATACAAGTTCGGCTATAGAAATGTTTGCAAATCAAACTTCATGTGATCTAAAAGGACCATGCGTAATGTCAAAAATGGACACCTGTACAGTCAATAGAAAGTTAATTTAAACATACATAGTCTAGATCATCCTAGAGTTATACAAACATCTGGGGCCACATATGTATCTCATTTTCTTTCAAAAAAACTTTTTTTTTCTATAAAAGTGATGTTTTGAAATAATTTTAAAAAGTATCTGACAATTATGAATGGTCCCCAGTTTTACAAAATGTGATTTCCAGGGTATGAAAACTGAAAAAAGTCAACTCTTCAGAGAGCGTTTTATATTATACAAACAAGTTTTATAGAAAAATGATCCAGCAAATGCTCGAGTTAAGAATATTTATATTTTTTTCCAATTCTTTACACTTTTATTAACACACTTACAAAAAATAACATTCAAACACTGAGAAAATTAAATAACTTTGGAAGCAGAGTTCATAGCTTTCTGCTTACATATAAATGACAATTCTGGGCTGTTGGCACAAAATAATCAACATTCATAAAACCCTTACTACTATATATCAAACATAAGTTAAAATCATAGGCACTAGTTTATCAAATCCACATTTCTTCTGTAAGACTAACCACAGTAAATCCTTAGATTTTCCCAAACAGAAAAACTGGCAATACACAAAGGCTCTCTAGTAAAAAGGCATTTTTTTTTCTCTTTAGGAAACTAAAAGCCAAAAATCTGTGGTAGTACAATAGCAGGTAAAATAATACTTTACCAAACTCAGATCCAAAATATGTTTTTAACAAGTGATGAAACTGTTTAATTAAAAAAAAAATAGACATTTTTTTTTTCTGATGCAGCCATTTAAAAACAAAGTTAAATAACCTGAATATTCCTTTTGAAACTGATTATCTAACTAAAAAGGTAATGGATGTTTCATAACAGGGTTAAAGTTCCTTTTAATTATTAGATTGCAGCATATATTTTTTGAAATGTTGCACTGAAAATGGAGACCTGTTTTGTTTTTTTTATGGATGGTATTTTTAAATGAGACAGTGGCTAATTCTTTATTTACTTAGATTTACATGAGATAACCCCCCTCACCAAAGCAGATGCTTTATTTTCCTCTGAAAAAGCAACATTTTCCAGTTCATTAGCATGTAGAATTCTGGCATCATTCTTCCCAGACCCACCCCATCACCTTCAATTCAAGGATACAATTTCTTCCTTGCAATATACACCATACTGGCAGTTTAAATCTGCAGCTGCTTGTGCTAACCCAATGCCTTCCTAATGGTCAAGCTATTAGGTGTCAGTCACAGCAATATGGGAGTCTTGGTTTCATTACTCTTTTAACCTATCAACCTCAATGCTGTTCTGAATATTGTCTTCCATTTCTCTCTCAATTTCCTTTGCCAACTTACAGAATGTCTTTAATAGGAAATAAACTTATGATTAAATCTCTAAAATCTTTTAGGTGACCCAACTGCCAATATTTTAGAGCTGTTTAAGTACTTAAAAACAGACCTGATGTCAAAAATGAGAAGTCTGCTACAGAAGAAGTTTTAGTTTGGTAATAATCTGATAAAACAAAAACAGGTGATTTCAAGGATGGTATATAAGAGCCATTAGAAAGCAAGTATTTATTTAACAGATTAGAGTCAGGTACAGTAGGTTTGTTACCAAAAATGCAAAAACTGATGTAAGGCAGAATTTAAGTCAAAAGGGACAGTATTTTCAAAAGATTTTATACAGTTACCCAGTATAAAGTGAATCAACCTAAGTAGGATTTAGCAGGCTATATTTCCTACCACATAATAGACAGTTATGCCATTTAATAGCAATAATTCAACCGTCACCACCAGAGACTTTGTAGGTTAAGTGCATAGATTTTTTTCCCCCTCTCTCTCACTGTATGGTTTTGTTCCAGGTTGTAAGCACTGAGGTGTTGTATCAAGAATAAAGACACACACTTGTTCTTTCCCATCATGGAAAACCTGCCGATATAAATGAGATATCTTAATTCTGTGACAGATAACAGCATGTGAAGAAGTTGGCTTCAGTAGCAAAGGCCATCTTCCTGAGCCAGGAAGTATAAAGTTTAGAAAGATTGTACAACTGATATTGAGCCCTTTTGGCAATCAAAACAAACACAGATAAGTCTGATGTGTCAATGCAACATGATGGATGCACACTGTAACACTATCTGGTGGTGCTGATGTGAGCTATGTCCAAAATTTAAGATTAAATAATTTTTCCAATAAATCTGAAAAAAATAATCCATAGATTCTTTTAAGTGTATGTACCATATTTTAATCTCTAGTCTGGATTTCTTCCTCCCATTCTCCTCCCAACCCCAAATCTTAACCTTGTTTTATGGAGAATTCAATCACTTTAGATAATTAGTCAGAATATTAGTTCTCATTAACACAAATATTTATTGATACCATTTATACAGTAAATTAGGTTGAATGCGAAGTTTTAGGTAGCCTAAATTCACCATTTTCTTATGCACAAAGGTACTCTCTCATTTACAAATGGGCATTTCTCTTTGGCATCCATTAGGTATTTGCCCAGATATTGGCCTTTGACAAATATTTAAAAATCAACCAAGGTTCTATTAAACAAAACTAAAAGTGATTCCATGTAGAGTGATTGTATGATTACCAAACACATCAGATGTTAAATGTCATTAAAGTGCTGCTTGATCATCTCTGTCGGTTTGTGCTAATAAGACAGAGAGGGCTGGGATTTTATAAATCCCAAGAGTCTTATCTGAACAGTCTGCATATAAAAGTTGTTTATTAGCTTGGTGAAGGGGTATCCATGAAACCGTGGATCTCTGCATTCTTGTCTTTGCTGGTCAATAACAGCCGTCTTTCCAACTGTCATCTTTCATGCTACCATAGGTTTTAGGAGCTGGCAAGGATCTGAAATAAAGCAATTTTATAATGATTTGCATGTCTTTACAAAACACTACCACACTATCTCTCACATATATTATTTTTCAGGTGGCATCCCTTTCAGAAAGCTCTACATAGCTATTTGTACAACCTTTCTTCATTCTGCCTTTTCATAACTTTCAAGTTTCACAGTGACTTCTGTAGCCTCTTTGTTAACATAGCTACTCACTTAAGATAAGGGAAAGATTGTTTCACCTTTTCCACTACATGGATAATGAACCTTTTGTTTTGAGAGGTAGAATGATGATTGTAATATTAGAGGCTCTGTGTTGCGATCCCTAAAGATGCAGTATGGGATAGTGGCTAAAAGGACTTTAAAGTCAGACATACTTCGAACTAAAGGCCCCATAATTTGTGTGGCTGCAGGCAAAATATTTTATCTCATTAGATTTCAATATCTTCGTCTAAAAAATAGAAATAATAAGAGTACCTATTCATTACTGTGAAGATTAAACAAAGTGTAAGTTATTAGCACAGTGCAGAGAGCATAAAAAGCCACTGCACACTACTACTGAATTTGGAAATGTAAACTGTTTACATTAGAATTAAAGTACAGGTAATACAGTTTAAATACTTAGAGAATAAAAGCCTTTTCATAAGCAAATAAATATTTGAAGTTTAATTGTAATTGATACGTAAATTTATTGATGGTGATAATCCTATTCTTGAATGGTAAAAATTAGAATCATGGGTCCCATCCTGGTTGGGATGAGAATCACCTGAAGATTAAACGAACATACAAAACAAAGAAACAAAAAAAACCCACATACACAGATTTTGGGCCTCAAGTCAGATCAACTAAGTCAGCCTCTGTGGGGGTAAATTTAGGCCTTCACATTTATTAAAAAAAAAAAAAAAAAAATCCACAGAAAATTCTGAATTGTGCCAGGGTTTGAAAATTGTACTAGGCTTATAAGTTGTACTAAGACTTGGTAGCTGCAAGTTTTATCTTAAATATCACTCTAGAGTCTATCACATTTTTATTATCTTTATTAAATATAGTTATATTCAAAATGAACAAATATCACAACCAAATTGAGTTGTAATTTTTTTCTAGAAGTCTTTTTGAACATATTAGGAATCTGAATAAATTTAATGTGTACCAAACTGATATCGTGTTCCAAATGAGGATTTCATCAGAGCAATGAAGTAACATTTTATTTCATATACGAAGATGCTAGTGGGAACCTACTATGGTTCTCTAAGTTCACTATCAAATTTAAGTAAGGCTAACTCCAGCCTACCTCCTTTCATGTGCTCAGGAATGCTGAAACAAGTCACTTACCTGCGAACGGGCTGTGCAAGTTTGCTGCGAGGCACTGGTATACCCCCAGCAGAAGGGGCACTGGGTCTGGGCAATCCACTTCTCATTGCCGTTGTCCCTGCAGGTCTGGTTAACGTAGTGCTGTTGATATTGCTGGGAGGATTTGCTGGAACTGTATTTTGAACCATAGGAGGCCCAGGTGAGGAGGTGGTTTGTGTGAACTGTGTTGTTTCTTGGCTACCAGAAGAACCATGGTTACTAAATGCTTTCACTGGTTGCCGAAGAGCCAAAGGAGATGGTGCTGCAGGGGAGCGGAATTTGCCTGGAGAAGGTACTGTGGAATGGTAAAGAGAAACCAATGATTTGAGTGGAAACCAAGTATAAGTGAAACCACTGCTTTATATTACAGTTGATGATTGGGGACTAGTATGTCCGTATTTACGAAACTTCACTTTAACATATGTGCAAGGAATAAAGAATATTTCTGGGCTAATAAAAGGAAAAAAGATAACTGGTTCCAAATAACCAAGTCCTCACTTGGAAGGTCACAAATTTCCTTAAAAAAAAATGTTTTAACCAAGCTGGGTGCGGTAGCGTATGCCTGTAATCCCAGCAGCTCAGGAGGCTGAGGCTGAGGCTAGAGGATTGTGAGTTCAAAGCCAGCCTCAGCAAAAGTGAGGTGCTAAGATACTCAGTGAGACCCCGTCTCTAAATAAACTACAAAATAGGGTTGGGGATGTGGCTTAATGGTCAAGTTCAACCTGAGTTCAACTCCCAGTATTCCCCTTCTCTCCCCCCAAAAAAGTTTTAACTAGGCCAGCTTAGAACCCACAATATCAGAAGAGAAATGGCTCTATAGGATTCTGTTTCACTGTAGCAACTAACTAGGGCCACATGAGAACATTTTAGAGGTGTGGGGTAAGGCTGACTATCAGAGTATTGTCTAGAATTTGAAACTCATTTCTCTCCTCAAAGAAACATTCATGTAAACAAATATATCAGGCTGGGGATATAGCTCAGTTGGTAGAGTACTAGCCTCACATGCACAAGGCCTTGGGTTCAATCTCCATCACCCAAACAAAAAAACCCCAATATATCTGGTGGTTGTATCTCCAAAGTCTTCTATCAAAATATAACTAAAAATTTAGGAACTAAGAATTAAACAAACAAAAAATCTCCTAGTGCTGTACCTCACAAAGCAAGGAATTTATGAATCTAGGGGCTTATAAAGAGGTCCGTCTGTGAAGTTACAGAATAAAAATGGTATATTTTTCTGGAATGTCAATTCTACTAAGTAAAACATTTATATCAAAACAAATACCAATACACAAAAGAATAAAATGTACAATGTACATTGATTTCTAAACCAAAACAAGTCTTTAAAATAAATTTTATTGTTTCAATTGGTTGCTCTGCAATGTACGTTCAGGTTTTCTGGGGTACACATTCATCTTTCTCTGCTTACTTCATGTTTAGATAACTTGCCTCTGACAGGGCACCAGTTTTAGTTTCCTCACATGCCCAAAGGTGGCTACACACAATATAACATGCTTTATCCAAGGAAGAACTCTGGAGTAGGGAATCAGAGAGAATGAAGGAGAGAGGGTGGTAGAGGGAAAAGGGATCAGAAGTAGAAAGATAACTACTTTCACTTTACCTCCATTAGTTTGAGTAGCATATGAATGGAGGTTAAGCCTGGGCCATAGAAATGTATTATTCTACACATTTTCATCTTCCTCACTTCTACCAATCCATCTATATGCCAAAAGTGGCAATAAGGTCTATCACAACAATGGCAGGAGACAATGAGTCTGGACACTAATTTCATCTGGTCTTTGGGAGAGAGAATGAACCTTGGCTTCAAAACTTCAAAATAGGAAAAAATCCATCTCCTATTTCCCTTTCAATAGTTTTTGTTCATAGCCCTCTTCCCTCCTAGCTGATCTTGCCTGTTCTCTGTGTGACTAAAGTTCCAAGTGTCAGCACCATTGTGTTGAATATATACTAGACCCCACTGCATGATGTACTCAAATTATATCTGTTTGGCTCCAAAACCCGTATAACCATGACTTTCAAACTTGTCTGTGCCTCAGAATCTTAAGCAGCTTTTGAAAAAATATATGGCAGCTCAGATACCACTTTCACAGAAATAAGTCTGAAATGGAATTTAAATATGTATGTATTTAAAAACTAGGATCTTTTACCGAGATAGAGAAATGGGGAAGGAACTTACCTGATAAAAACACCTACAAAACTGGACAAAATATATTAAAGACATTAAAATGCTGGACAACAGGGAATATAAGAACATGATCTCTGTAAGAAGGAAAACAAATAAGACATAGAGTCCCATGGTCTACCTGACTATTTCCCTCCCTCCCCTGAGACATTTTATGGCTATAGATCAGAGAGGAGTATCCTACTGTTAAGTCAGTTTTTTTTTTTTTTGGTCACTGTGACCAAAATATCTAAGAACAACTCAGAGGAAGAAAAGTTTGTTTGGGGTTCACCAATTCAGAGGTTCATTCCATGGTTGGCCAATTCATTGCTCTGGGCCTGAAGCAAGACAGAACATCATGGCAGAGAGCCAGTGGAGGATGGCTGCTCAGCTTATGGTAACAGAGAAGGAGGCGGGGTAGTGGTGGGTAAGGAGCCAGGGACAAAACAATCTCCTAGGGCATGCCCCCAGTAAACTACTTCCTCCAGGCATACTCCACCTGCCTATAGTTACCACTCAGTAGTCCATTCAAATTATTAATAGATTAATCCACTAATGAGGTTACAGCTTTCATAATCCAATTATTTAATCTCTGAACATTCCTGCATTGGGGACCATGCTTTCAAAACCTTAGCTTTTCAAGGGGCATTTCTAGGTCCAAGCAATAACACCTATACAGATCAAAGCTATCTTGCAGAGTGGAGAAGATAAAAACCAGAATTTGAGGGGCCGAGTACCTTAGAGGAGGGGGCTGAACAGAAGACCTCCTCACCTCAGAAGTCTGTTTGAATCTTTGGCTGAACTGAATACTAAGCTGGAGAAGTACAGAGTGAAGCTCTGTCAGACTGGGCAAGAAGTCTGGAGCACTGTAAACTGAACAGTTGCCAAAGCTCTTACAGAACTACTCCATATTTGGGTTTCAACCTGTTACAGTAACAAGTCCTTGCCAAATATCTATGAGATATTCCAAATGCAGCCAGGAGATATTCCAAAAGGGTCAGGCCTTAAGGGGCGGGGGAGGGGGAAGCGGTAAACTATACGTAAAGGCTACTCTAACAAAGTTAAGAAAAACATGCCTCTAAAGCAGAGTTTAGCAAATTATTGCTGATGAGCAAGTCAACTGTTCTTGTAAATAAAGTTTTATTAGAATACAGCAACACCCATTTCAAAAATATATTGTCTACTTTCAATTATTTTGGCAGAATTAAGCAGTTTTTACAAAGACCATACTGCACACAAGTCTAAAATATGTATTATATGGCCCTTAAGAAAACATTCATTGATCTCTCCTTTTAGAAAAGGTCAAACTAATCTACAAATAATGTGATTACTTGCCACAACAAAGTCTAACACTATTTAAAAGAAGATAAATCTATTACAGAATAATGTAAAATTCTACAATGTCCACTGTTCAATAATTACTAAATAATTAATCAATAATTACTAAAAGCAGAAAAACAATCATCAATACCAGGAGAAAAATTAGTTATATCAAGAGCCAAATACATGCTATATAAAAGAGACATATTTTAGATACAAAGATGGAGGTTAAAAGGATGGAAAAAGATGCACCATATCAGTACTGATCATGAAAAAGCTAAAATGTCTATAATAATTTTTATCAGAAAAACACTACCACTAGGAACAGACTTTATAATGTTAAAGGAGTCAGAAAAAATGATGTATCAACCCTCAATGTGTGTGTGTGTGTGTGTGTGTGTATCTCAAAACAGATAACAACACACATGAAGCAAAGGACATAAGTGAAAAGTGAGGGGAAAGGTCCAAAACTAGAGTTGAGTAATTCAACACCTCTTTCTTAGTAACTGATCAAATAGGTTGAAAGTCAGAAAGGACATAGGCATGAACACTAGTGAGTCAAGTTGCCCTGACATTTATAGAATACTCTGTCAAATAATATATGATTTTCAAGAATAGTAGAACACTCATTCACTAGGCCATACCTGTTGGTATAGAAAAGTCCTAAATATTTGGAAATTTGAAAAACCTCTGTTTTAAACGATGCATGGGTTCATGAAGAAATCATCGGGGAAATTACAAAATATTCCAAACTGAATGAAAATGAAAACAACATAAAATCTTAGGGAATGGACCAAAAGCAGTATTCAATTTATAGCTTTTAATATACTTTTATTAGAAAAGAAGTCTAAATCAATTAGATAAACTTCTACTTTAAGAAGTGAGTAACAGGGCCTGGGGTTGTGGCTCAGTGGTGTAGCACTTGCCTAGTACATGTGAGGCACTGAGTTTGATCCTCAGCACCACATAAAAATAAACAAATGAAATAAAGGTATTGTGTCTGGATACAACTTAAAAAAAAAAGCGAGTAACAGTAAATTTAGCCCAAACTTAGTAGAAAGAAGGAAATTATAAAAATAAAAGCAAACATCAATAAGCTATAGAAAAAAACAAAGAAAAGGAGAAAAATGGTAGATCAAATGGTCCTTAAAATGTCAACAAAACTGGTAAAATTTTAGAAAGACCAATGAGGGGAGAGGAATGTTACAAATTACCAGTATCAGGAAGGAAAGAAAGAAATGTTACTGCAGATTTTGACACTGAATATTATACAAATTTTTTTTTCAGATTACAGAGGACACACAGTCCTAAGTCATTGTTATCAGGTCAGCAATGCCCTGATATCAAAGCCAAATAAATAAAAGAACACAGATACAGAAATCCTTAGTAAATGTTACAAAATCAAATCCAAAAACACACAAAAAGATGCCATCATGCCCAAGCAGGGTTTATCCCAGAGATACTAGGTTGTTTAAATACAAGGTTGGTAATAATGGCTGAAAAATCAACCAATGCAATTTTAGACATTAACAGACTAAAAGAAAACCATATGAGCATATGAAACTTTTTAAATGAAATAAAGAAAAACTATGAAAAAACTAAATATATCATCATATATAATGGTAAAGTCAGAAATGACATAGACATTAACACTATGAATTAAGCTGTCCCTGATTAAGGTTGAATGCTTTCATCCTCCATGGGGAAGAAGGCAAAGATGTCTATTCTTACTTTCTTCTATTTAACATTGTAGTGAAATACTTAGCCAGTACTGCATGCCGCCCTCTCTTTCAAAA